ATGTCTACGTAATTCTTTTTTTCTCTTTTAAAGATTTATTTACTTGAGAGGCGGATTTAGAGAGAGAGGTCTTCTATCTGTTGGTTCACTCCCCAGATGGCCACAATGGCCAGAGCTGGGCAGATCCAAAGCCAGGAGCCAGGAGTTTCTTTCAGGTCTCCCAGGCAGGTGCAGGGGTCCAAGCACATGGGCCATCTTCTATTGCTTTCCCAGGCCATAAACAGAGAGCTGGATGAGAAGTGGAGCAGCCAGGACTCGAACCAGCACCCACATGGGATGCCAGCAATGCAGGCAGATGCTTAACCTACTGTGTCACAGGTCCGGCCCCTTACATAACTCTTACCATGGGCTGCATATCGTTTCTTCAGAGATATCTTGCGTACCATAGCCGTGCGCTAAGAGGTTAGCTACTCACACATGACCTGAACCTTCCCCGCTCAGAGCCGGCAGTTTTTGGTGCCGCAGGTTGTAGATGCCTTGAGGAAGCATTGCTAAGGACAGACGCATCTGAGCCTGTTGAGACCTCCCAGGCACTGCACGTCCTTCTCAGGAGACATAGCTGCGGGATGACGTCATCGGTCTCATTTCAGGTGCCCCAGATCACTGGACCCCCCCCCCCCCCCGCCCAGGCACTTCAGGGATGTGACCTAGGAATGTGTAAGGCTTGTGCTCCACCCTTCGGGGTACATGCGTCTTTGCAAAGACTGTGACGCCCTTGCTGCCCCTTGCCCAGGCGGACCAGGAGCCTACTGCCATCAGCGCGGTGCACGGGCGTGATGTTCCTCAGGGCGCCCACTCGGTCCCTCTGGGCGATGCTATGTCAGTGGGCGTGAGAAGGAATGCAGGCAGAGTGTGCATGGCGGGGATGTGTGCGCATACACGTTTACTTCATCCATCTAAAGTGAATGCACATTTTCTGACCCCCCTTGCTCAGACCCACTGGTGCTTAAGCTGTAGAATGGAAGGCACCATCATGGCCCTGAGAAGGCAGCTCCCTCAAGAGGGCTGGTGATGGGGCCGGTGCTGTGGCATACAGCCACCGCCTGCAGCTCCAGCATCCCATATGGGCACTGGTTCGAGTCCTGGCTGCTCCACTTCCGACCCAGCTGCCTGCTAATCTGGAAAATGGCCCAAGTTCTTGGGTCCCTGCACCCACTTAGGAGACCAGGAAGAAGCTCCTGGCTCCTAGCTTTGGATTGGCTCAGCTCCAGCTGTTGCAGCCATTTGGGGAATGAATCAATGCATGGAAGACCTCTCTCTCAGTCTCTACTTTCTCTGTAACTCTTTCAAATAAATAAATCTCTAAGAGGGGTAGTGACGCCAGCCAAGTGGGCTTGCCATGCTTCCTCCAAACCTGTGACACCAAGGCCAGTCCCCCAGACTACTGGGGCCGCCAGGTCCTGAGCTGGGAACCTCCAAACCAGAAGCTGAAATAAACCTCTTCCTTCCCGAGTGGCTCTTCTGGGAGCTTTAAAGTAATGGAAGGCTGTGCCCCAAGTACTTGGACCATCATCTGCTGCCTACCAAGGTACACAATAGTAGGAAGTTGGATCAGAAGCAGAGGTGGGACTTGAACCCAGGTACTGTGATAATGGCTGTTTGACCCACTGCACCATGACGCCTGTCCCCTGCCCTGCGTTGGTTGACCTTCACAATGACTTTGAGGTCATGATTATTCACGTCCCCTGTTGTGGAAAGAAGTGCAAGTGGCAAAGATTCAGCTCAGGCCCGTGGGAACCAGTCCGTGCGTTTCTCTTTGCCCTATGATTTCCCTCCATGGACACATTGACCAAAGCTGTTGCAGAACAGTGAGGCTAAACAGTGTTCCCCTGAGGGAGCAAGGTGGATACAGCCTGTGTGTGCCCTCCGAGGGGCCCAAGAATCCAGAGGGAATTTCCCTGTGGCTGAATGAGCCTTGGAAGCAGACCAGCATTTGCACATCAAAGGTCTTGTCACCCAGGTTGGAATTTCATGAACTCCATGCCCGGAAAGACCTCCACCCAGCAATATGCCAGGGGAAGAGGGCGGGCCATCTAGAAAATCTAGAAAAATGCCGGGGCCAGCGCTGTGGCACAGTGGGCGTAAAGCCAAGGCTTGTGGCGCCGGCATCCCATATAGGCAGTGGTTCTAGTCCTGGTTGCTCCACTTCAGCTCTCTGTTATGGCCTGCGAAAGCAGTAGAAGATGGGCCAGGCCCATGTGGGAGACCCGGAAGAAGCTCCTGGCTCCCGGCTTTGGATCAGCTCAGCTCTGGCCATTGCGGTCATTTGGGGAGTGAACCAGTGGAGGGAAGACCTCTCTCTCTGGCTGGACCTCTCTCTGTAACTGTTTCAAGTAAATAATAAAAAGAAATTAAAAAGAAAGTAAACTTAGAACTTATAAAAAGGGGAGGGGAGGGGAGAAAAACAGCAGTCCCAGTGCAGACTGGACTTGGTTCTCACCGACGAGCTCGTGTGGCCTGTCTGTCGTCATCAAACTTGGCTGGCGTGCTTGCTGCCGCTCTCTGCCTTGCGCCTCAAAGGCTCATGTTGTGCAAAAGAACTCTGCTCAGCCAGCACGTGAGATGTGAGATGCAGGCAGCAGGCGGGAGAGGCTCCACCCTCAGAGCGGCTCTGTAACCAGCCTTTCCTTAGCCCCAGCGTTCAGGACTAAGATCGGGGAGCAAGGAGACACAGTGGAAAGGAACCTTGGAATGGTTGCGTGGTTGACAAAATGTGGACATCCTCCTTCCTTCTGCTCTCCGTTGCTAAATCCGGATTCGAATTAGGGGAGGTTATTGTTATTATTAGGGCTCTAGAAAGAAATGAGCTGAAACTTCATCAGTCGTGGCAAAAAGTTCAGCTTCTCGCACAAAAGCAGCTTAGTAATGGTGAGGTCTAAATCTGGGACTGTTGGGACTGGCGCTGTGACGTAGCGGGTGGGGCAGTGCCAGTGTCCCATGTGGGCGCCGGTTCGAGTCCCCGCTGCTCCACTTCCAATCCAGCTCTCTGCTATGGTCTGGGAAAGCAGCGGAGGATGGGCCCCTGCACCTATGTGGAGCTCCTGGCTTTGGATCTGCCCAGCTCTGGCCGGTGCGGCCATTTGGGGGTGGACCGGTGGATGGAGGATCTCTCTGTGCCTCTCTCTAACTCTGCCTTTCAAATAAATAAATCTTTAAAAATAAATCAATCTGGGAACACTTCAAGTCACTCTGCCACCAAGTCACCCCAACCCCCAGTGGCTTATACACATCTCAGTGTCTCATGATTCCGGGTCTCCCCTGGGCTCCTCATTACGCACCCAGTGAGCTGTCCTCCCGGCACATGGGGCTGGCAGGTGCAGCAGGAACCCTCTCCCCACAGGGGTGCAGCCTGACCGCTTCACCTGGCAGCCACATTCCGAGGGTAAGGGCAAAAGTTTCAAGGTGTCGGAGGCACAGGCTCCAGAACTTGCTGGTCCTGTCACATTCTACTGACCCAAAAGGCACCAGACCAGCTGAGCCTAGGCGTGGAGAATGGCTGCACCTGACTGGGGTGGTGGGGGAGGAGACACAGGCGGGGGGACAGGCTGAGTTATTATAAACGTTTGCCATGGGAACCTAGAAAAGGGGGGTTACCGCAGGGAAGCAGCCCCAGTGACCGACCGCGGTCCTCACAGGGGCTGCAGGCCTGGATGAGAAAGGACTGCGCATGCCTGGGCGCTGGGGAGCCTGGGATTGGAGCCATCTCCACCGCGGGGCACAGGCAGGGGCAATGGCTCATCGGTGGGGGGAGCCTCAGAGTTTGGACCCAGTCAGAAACAGACACATAAGGTGATGCTGGCGGGTCGCACGGAGCCGATTCTACAGGAAATCGCACCCAGGCTGCTGCTGGACAAGGACTGGATCAAACGATGCATCCGTGTGTTGCTCAGGACAGTTTTCAGACTTCACGGAGGACGCATTTATTGGTGGATCTTAAAACAGTGAGTGGCTTGCCGCATTTTAAAAAACCGAAATAGAAAAGTATAGCACACGGAGATCTTTTTCTTGAACTCACTGACATAAATAAGCTCGTTTACACGTCTGGGGCGGTACTGGGTGGAGTTTATGGCAGGCAGAGGTGGACTGGCACTGAGGGAGCTTGCACTGGGTGAGGGCTGTCTACTTGGTTCCCACAAAGAGACAGTGTGCTAAGGTCTGTGCCCAGGCAGATACACAATGACAGACCACAAATGGTAGTCCTGGGGCTGGGGCAGTTTTGTTCCATGCTAAGCCGTTTCAGCCCAAGGGAAAGCTGAGCAATCAGGCTGCCTTCCTGTGTGCTCACCTCCCCCCCCCCCCCCCAGACCCGGGAAGGAATGAAACAGGCTGGGAGGGGCCCGCTGTGGCGCAGCGGGTTAAGTCTTCACCTGCAGCACTGGCATCCCACGTGGGCGCCGTTTGTGCCCTGGCTGCTCCTCTTCCCATCCAGCTCCCTGATATGGCCTGGGAGGGCAGTGGAGGATGGCCAAGTGCTTGGGCCCAGGCAGCTGCGTGGGAGACCCGGAGGAAGCTCCTGGCGTCGGATCAGCCCTGCTCTGGCCACCGCAGCCATCTAGGTAGTGAACCAGTGGATGGAAGACCTCTCTCTGCCCCTCTCTCTGTCTGCAACTCTCTCTGAAATAAGTAGATAAGATCTTAAAAACAATAACCAGGCTGGCAAGACATGCGACAGACAAGGGTTTACCCTCAGTGGCTGCGGCTGTCGCCACCTGCGGTCTGCCCCCCGAGGGCATGCTCCCGAGCGCAGGGACCTGGCCAGCGTGGTGTCACTGACTGCGGTCAGCACCGCGTTGGCCAGCGCTGCCAGGAGAGGTCATCAGGGAACGTAGGGGAGCGGCCCTGGAAGCCGCACTCTGCACGGAGGCCGGCGGGGCCGGGGACCGGGGTAGCTGCAGGGGCGCATCCACGTAACTAGAACAGCCAAGTCACGGAGCAAGGGGGCTCAAAACGCCGCCAGCAGAGGGGGAAGGAGACACCAAGTAAAGACGACACACAAGGAATCGGTGACTTTTTTGCTTTTTACTTTGAACATCAGCATTAAGTTGGTTACCGTACACATCCAAAGGCCCGGCATCTCGGGGTGGGTGGGGTGGGGGGTCATTGAGCGGCACGCCTTGTACCAGAGTCTCACAGAATAAAATATACAATGCTACATTGAGTGGTTAAAAATACACAAAAAAGTAGTTTTAACAATCTATAAATTTTTTATACTTAAAATCATGATTGAGTTGAAATAAAAAAAAGTGCATTTTAATTGCTAAAAAAATAATATTGGTATAGTTAACACAGAGTGGGGGAAGTCAGCACACCAAGGGACCTGTCGGACGCCGGGAAGCAGATGACGTGGGCGGCTGGGCAGCGCGGGCTCCGCCGCTTCACCGCTGTTCCCGGGCCAGGGGGCCCCTCCCTGGAGTCCTCCCCACTGTGAGAGCGCCTGTCCTGCCCACCCGCCACCTCCCCGACCCAAAGCCTCCTCTGCACCTCCTCACAGCCTACACCCAATCCACCTTGACCTTCAATTGCGTCTCCGCAGAGGTAGGAGAGCGACACCACCCCGCTCCGCACTTGACATAAGTACCCCAGCCGCGTGGCCTTCCTCCTTATGACCGAGCAGGCAGAACAGGGACCAAGCAGCTTCTATTCGTCAAACTCCTTTGGACAAATAGTCAACATTCAACAAACGAGCTTCGTAAACCTAACGCTAAACAACTCCTGGCAAGCAAACGGGATTTTCTTTTTCGAAATGAGGAAAAGTGCACGTGAGTTCAGTTCTGTCGGGAAAACAAAGATCAAAGCAAACAAGTCGCATCTGGCCACCTGCCCCCTAGACCCCGCCACGCTGGGCGCTGGAGTTATAAGGAGACACCGCGGTGCGTGGTGTAGAGGCCGGGGCAGGTGTGGCGCCTCCTGGCTCCGGGGCTGCCCCTTCGCTCACTCTGACCTGTCTACCGCAATCAGAGCACTTGAGGTCAGAGAGTTGATGACCACGCACAGCCCCAAGCCAGGCCACCAATGCAGGGCGAGCCCTGGGTTCCAGCATGGAGCAGCACCGGCCGCAGGCCTGGGCGTGACTGATGGCGGACTGGGGCAGAGTGGAGAGGGTGCCCCCACTCACACTCCAGTCCCTCTCCGAGATGTGACAGTGCCCCCGCTGGGCCGCCTCCTGCTTCACGGTACACAACGGATCCCCAAGGGCAAGGCCCTGCCTCTCAGTGGCAGGGCACCAGCAGGACAGACGATGATGCCAGACCCACAAGGACCCCAGACCTGCACATCACCCTTTGCTTGCATCACAAGGGCTGAGCAACTACTGGATTTAGTAATGAGGGACAGTCCAGAGGAGATCTGAAAACGGAGCTTTAGAAGGCTGAGTGTAAAGAAGGTAAAGTACTTTACTGCCCCCTTGTGGACAAAGCCAACACTGCTGACAGAAGGGAGTCCTACCCAGCAAGCGAAGAATGAGTAAAATGCACAAACTTAGGGATGACGGACAGTTCATCCAGTTTGCTGAAACTGCATACGTACCCGCGGGGATACAATCTGAGAAGGAAACACCAAGACTCCACCACACCCTTTCTAGTTAACCTAATGTGCTGAATGGTCAAGCCTAAAGAGGTATTTCTAGGAGAGTTCGGAGTCCTGAGAGAACCGAGTATTTCCCAGCAACTCTGAAATGCAACAAGACATAGTCTCGAAGCCCCTGCAAGATGTGAGCTAGAATCTCTCCCCCTGACCACCTGGCCCCTTTCACCTGTAAAAGACAGGCGGGGAGGAAGCTGTGTTTATTCAGAAACAACTTGATTAGTCCCCGCACCCAGTACAGACTCTCCAGGTCGGCAAAACCAGCCCGCGCGAGCATCAGGCTCAGCTTCCACCCTTTCCTGTCCCCTTCCTGTGTCCTGCATGTCCCACAAACACCACGTGGCAGGTCCCAGCTCACCAGAGAAACCGTAGTCGCGTCCAAGTACCCTGGGAACTCAAAAGCCATGGGGATACTTGTCAGGGGCAGGACACGCCTCTGCCCCTAGCGGAAGGCATGGGACCAGCGGCCTCACCACTGTGTCCCCATCTGGGACTCTGCAGAGAAAAGCAACAGACGTGAAGGGGATGCCTCCCGGGGCGGGGCACTGCTCAGGAGGCAGAGTTCCTGGGAATGCAAACTCTGAAACAACAAGACACCCTCGTTACCGACCTCTGCCACCTAGAAAGCCACCTTTTGCAGGCCGTGAACTAGTCTTCCCATTCTAGATAGCCCGTGATGCCTTCGTGATGGGGTGCAACCAGAGAGGGTTAACGCCTCCCACCTCCGGGGGACTAGTCAGCTTTGAGAACCTGAGTACTGCTACTGTTAAGGAAAGAGGCAGGAGATTCTAAGCCAGCTAGGAAGGATTTCTGACTAAGGCTGGGACACTCAACAACTTTCCTTCACCTACGGTCCAATGTTCTCATTTTCAGGAGGTGGTTCCTTTTCCGTGTTGGGAACGGACAGCAGGGAAGCCCGGAAGCCAGGCGCTCACGTCACATGAGAACATGCTGCGACCTCCTCTCCTGACACCCTTCACATGCCACGCACCTGCTATGCTTGTAGAGCGAACCAGAGGACAAGGAGGAAAGCAGCACACGTTCCGAGGGCCAGGGGCGGGGCGGGGCGGGGCGGGGCAGGCAGACGCAGCATCAGCCAGGGACCTGCTCCGCACCTGCAAGTGAGCCTCAACTCATCTAAAGGAAACTCCCGGGTACCTTTGCAAAATGTTCATGAAGGACCAGGAGGCAGCGACAGCAGCATCAGAGAGGGTGGGCATTCAGGAAGACTTCAGGTGAGAAAAGATAACCTTGCAGAAAGAAAGAGTTAAGGATGAACTCTTCCAACCCTGGAGACGTGATATGTGAAAAAATAAAAGATAGAAACAAAAGCAGAAAATGCAACCTAAAAATGAGACGCGTCCAAAGCCCCCGCCCGTGGCTGTCACCAGCTCATGGAGCTGAACCCACCGCCGGTGCTCGGGGCGGATGAAGTAGAGGTAGGATTGAGACCAGGAAAAGAATGTTCCAGGATGCTGGCTTTCTGAAGGCACTCGAGGACAGAGAGAGAGACAGGAGCTTCAGTGAGACAACATGGGGTGAGAGCGCGAGACAGACAGACGGACAGAAAGGTGTAAACCACATGGCCCTCATAAAGACATGAAAAACTCTGGGAACATGGCGACGGTACCTCTGCCACTGAGTCACACGCAGAGCGACACGGTGCAGAGGAAGCCCCTGTAAAGGCCGTGGCCCGCCACCATGCGAACAAACGGCCTGCCTTCTGGATCTGCGACCCTGCGACCCTGTGGGAAATGGTGGTCGCGTGGTTTTCTGAACAAGACTGCTGGCTGAAGCCAAAGCTTCCACATCGGGACAGGCATGGAGCCTCCTTTTCCTCCGAGCCTTGCCCAAGCCCATCCTCTAAGACTGAAAGGCCTGGTGTCAAGAGTCTGCAGCCAGGCTGGGGGCTGGGACGTGGATACACTGACAGCGACTGCTATGGCTTCCACGGAGAGCGAGCCGAGCATCCCTGGTTTGCTTTATTGAGGTAGTGTCGGGGGGCCAAGGTCAGGTGGTTCCTTATAAAAGCTACAGTGGCCAGGGCGCTGTCACCGCAGAATCACGCTGCGCTCTGCGATGGCTTGCGGCTCCTTTTGCTCCTGGAAAAAATGATCTTTTGGAAAATTTTCTATCTTGGTTTTAGCAAAGGAAGATTTAAACCCAATATTTACTTGCTCAATTTTTATAGTCTGAAGAATTCCAAGTGAGATGGTTTTTTAAAACAACAGCTGATAAAATTCATAACTGTAACTTTTACCCCCTCCCATTAAAGACTTCCCATTGGCCTAAACAGCAGGAAAGCGTTTAGGGTCAGCAATGCAGTAAAGCGCCTTTTCTGTACAGCAGCCTGAACGCAGAGTTCTCCAACCCAGTCTTCTTTCTTCCTTTTTACACTGAAACCCACCTCCCACTGTTTTACTGACTGACCTGCAGGGCTGGGCTGTGTACGTGTCTGCGACGGATTTCTATCTGCTGCACCTCCCCCTCACAAATGACAACTTCCTGTAAGATCACAATGAAATGAAACAAACAGGGCCATTCAACAAACTTGAAAATTGGAGCAGAAACACTTGCAAGAAGTGAGACATTCCCAGGGGACAAGCGCCTCTTCAGAGCTCCTTTGTCAGTCAGTGCACGGACGACACCTGGACCGAGGGGCAGCACGAACCGCAGTGAAAAGGGACAGCTCAGCAAAGTGGCAGAGGACGCAAGTCTCCCTAACGGAGGTCCGCAGGTTCCTCCAACTACAGCCCAGGGTCCTGTGGAGACCCTCCCCTGCTGGCTAAAGCCAAGATTGAAATCACTGACATCCGTGGAGAGGGCTGGGGGTCGTCTTTCCATCACTCAAACTTAAAAATCTAGCTCTGCGTGAGTCTACCCAAGCCCATTCCGGGAAGAGCAGCCGCCTTTTCGGAAGCCTAAGGAAGAGGCGACAGCTAAATTGATAAATCCAGGAGGAAAGAACAGAAAGATGAAGGGGAAATAAAATGCAAGGCCAACTCAACAAAGTCGTGGGGCTTTCCTCTGAGTGAGCCTTAACCCGGGCAATGCCGCGAGCCCCCGAAAACAGTGAAATGCGGTCCCGACAGACAACCTCATCCGCTATCTACATAGTGCTCACATGTGGCCCCTGTTGTCTCGAAAGACGGTAAGCACAGACAGGGGCTAGAACTCAAACTCCTCCACACCTTTTCTCATACACAGATAACAAGCAGGTAACCAGCCGGGAAGAACTCACTCGGGAGAGAACACATCACAGAACGCAACTTTCCTCAGTGGAGGGCCCCAACCACATTTTTCAACCCTGAGTTTGAGTCTTATGCATGTTAAACCTGATGCATACGTATGTTTAAGGCTTAATCCTGCAGTTCTTAATATTCAGAAGCAGTAACGTGAATATTCTTAATGCATTGTTACCCACTATCCATACATAATATGACAGTGATGAAGAAGCATTAAATCCTAAGCACAAATCCCAAGTCGGGGAAGGTTTAATTCTCTAGGGAAAAGAACTGGAATTTGGAGATTGTTCCACAATACATTTTACTAAGAATTGTACTGTGTGACAATGTTAATTTTTGTAAGTAACCCCCTGCCCTTATTTTTTGCTTCTGTTAAGGATGGTGGTGGTTTTGCTTAATACTGGTTTTCCTCTGTAGCATTTTTTTTTTCTTATGGCTATAGTTGCTTGAATGAAAAAATCAAAGTTAACTACCTGAATTTTCCAGTGTATAACTGTAGTACACCTCATGAAATGGTTGATTCAATGGTCTCAAGTCTAGAATTCAGGATTGCCGCCCAGTACTGTAAATTTATATAGGACAAAATAACGTACAACCAATTAACTAAGCTACAATTTACATATTTAAAAATTATTTTAGTATGACAGGCTTGACCATGAAATAGTGATCTGTCTACGCAGCAGTGTAGACGGACAAACCTGTCGTGGAGTGCAAAGTAGAGGGGGAGGGGACAGTCACTGGGGCTCCAAAGTCATCAGCGAGGAATCCACTTTCCTTGCTGGTTTGGGTAACTGGGTGCTCAGAGAATACACACACATGCTAAACATACCATTCTTTAAAACTCACCTCCCCAAACTGCAAAAGTGTGTCCTGAGATACTTTTCCGCCTCACTGCAAAATTTTCCTATGTGTTCTGAAGACAAAGTAAGACCAGAAGGAGAAAATTTGGACACACCAAATCAAAAAGCTAACAGAGGATGTGTCATCTTTAAAAGAGGGCCTCGGCCTCAACTCCAAGAGTTCCATTTTTTTCCTGCTATAGAGCTAAACAGCCAGAAAAGTGCTTAAAGTATATCTGCACATTAATATTAAAAATAGAAAATAAATAAAAGCCAGAGTTCTGATTCAGGCAATGATTTAAGAGCCTGAGAGAAGAAAAACGAAGGAATTTCAGGAATAAAAATATGGATGGGGGAGGTGAGGGGAAAGCGACCTGGCCTCGGAACTCGACTCTCTGAGATGATAACACTCGCTCAGTTCAATGTACCCAACGCGTTCGCCCTTCTGACAGGCCTTTCCCGGAGTCAGCTCCTGGGTGACCATGCTCCTCTGAAGTTCCCACACCTGAAAAAGCGACCTGTGTGCTGGGGTGGGAGGGACAGCCCTCTCCATCACCCGCATGGGACGCGGCCGCCAAGCCCAGGGCTTTCCCTAACCACACGCCAAACTTAAAATAGCTCCAAGCTGTGGGCACGTCCACATTTTATCAGTAAGAGACTTTAAAACTCACAACCAATTTGCCTTATCCAGATTTCTCAACCACTGATGTCACGTTTGTGATTTACTAGGTTAGCTTCTGATTAAAAAAAAAAAAAAAAAGAGCAACCTCAAAACAAGAGACTTGCATTTGTCATCCCATGAAAGTTAAACACGAACACAGTTCCTAAGGGAGGCAGTCACAGGGCTGACGAGACCCACCTGCCGTTGCCTCCTGCGGGTGCAGGGTGGGAGGGCGGGATTCCCTCGGCTCTCCCCACCAGGCGCAGGCTCCAGGCAGCTTCTCCTGGAGGGCCCCCGCCCCTGCCATTCATTCCCCTCCCTAGCGGCACCCAGCACGGCAGCAACGTCAGAGTGTTAAGCAGAGATTACTATAAACTACCAAGCACTCACTCCAGGTTCCCAGAGCAGGAGCTGGTGTCTGCGGGGGCCTGGCCTGGTGACCCTCTGGGGACAGCACCTCTGAGTTGTACGGACGTAAGAGTTACTTTGAATTATAGAAGTTATATGCATCTTTAAGAATCACATTTTGATGATTATAAAAATTTCCTCTATTTTACAACATAGGTTCAGCTACACTGAAAAAATTACACCGCTTATTGAAATACATTTCATTTTAGAAACAGGCTACTAAAGAAGTCTATACAAAAACTCTAAAATAATTTCTGTAGTAAAATAAAGAGTGCGTTAGGAGAGCTACACAAAGAAGAAAATCTCTGTCTCTATAATGCTTGATCTACCGTGGGGGCGGCCAGCTCGCCGCTGCAGCCGGCACCCGACGCTGAGAACTCGTTGCCATACACAGTGATACGATTAATGCTCTGGATTAATCTCACAGCCCTCCGGATTAGTACAAAGGAACCAGGCCTGTCCCCTCTTTGAGGGGAAGTCCAGGGTATAAAAGCAAGCATACCTCATCAGCTGATATGAAATTATAAAATTCCACAAGTCAGTATTCGAAATTTATAAAAGTCATCAGAAAATGCAAGCAAATTGGGCTTCAGTTCGGCAGCTCCCCCGGGCCAGCTGACGCCGCCTTCTCCATCGTGGGTCCCCGAGAGGCCGGGCGAGGCCGTGGAGGAGGCCGCGGTGGGTGGGGGGCTTCCCGCGCGGGCGGCCGCTAATGGTGCTGCGCCGCGCTCGGCTTCTCCGCCAGGTGCCGCAGAAAGCTGTCCTCGCTCTGGCCTCTGTGGTTCAGGGGCTCGCTCTTAAAGAGCGCGGGGGGCGGGGGGAGGTGAGGCACCGGAGGGATGGGCAGGTGGTGCGGGGGGTGCGGGTGCGGGTGGATGTGCAGGTGCGAGAAGGGGTGGGGGATGGGCCGGGGGGGCAGGGCGCTGCCCGGGTTCATGCTGATCGGCGGGGCCGGGGTCGCAGGCGTGCTGGCCACTGAGGGGAGCGGGGCGGCGGGGGCAGCCGCCAGCGGGGTCTGCACGGCCGGCGGCACGTTCACCGGGCTGGTCACCCGGAAGCACTTCTCCTTGTGGGCCTTGAGCATGTTGGAGAAGCGGAAGCGCTGGCCGCACACGTCGCACGGGTAGGGCTTCTCGCCGGTGTGCGTCCTGCGGTGCCTCTTCATGTTGGGGCGGCTGGTGAAGCTTTTGCCGCAGATTTCACAGATGAAGGGTTTCTCTCCTGAGGTGAACACAGATGCGGAACAGTGGTTAACACACCCGACCGCGTGCTCGTGGGGCCGCCCCCCACGGCGGGTCACGGTCTCCGTGGACAGCACATCGGGGCCCTTCCCCTCACAGAGGCCTCGCAACCTCCCGTGGAGCACAGAGAAGCCTTTGCGAGCAGCTTGCTTTTGGTACGAGACCTGGAGCGCCCGGGGCAGGACTGGAGTTTCGCCCGCAGTGCCTGCCCGTGGGGGTGCCCCCTGGTGCTCCCGCACACAACTCTGGGCCGCGTGGGGCTGTCTGGCACACAGTAGGGGGAGGAGCACTCGGCACTCCTGGGGCCCCCTCCTGAGTGTTCCCAGGCGATTCTGACCACCTGAACTGCCCCCACGCCATTCCTCACTGTCCCCAGGTTGGGGTCGGGAAGGCGGATAGGGCCCATAAGCGTCCCGGGAGAAAGAAAGTCCGCAGCCCCCCGGGCACCGAGGGGAGAAGTCAGGTTTGGGCTCTGAGGGCTTCCTTTTTATGCTTCCTCTCCTTCCTCTGGACTTACTTCTCAGTTCCTTGTGACCTGTGCCTGCGCCCCTACCCAGGCAATGGAGAGAAAACAGTGACTTCTGAGGGCACACACGCGGCCCCCTCTCACTACACAGGGAGGGCCGAGATGAGTGCTGCAGGCCTGCTGGCTTGCACTGATCAATCCCCACATTAGCTCTCAGGGTCTGTACCTCCTCCTCTCTCTCTCCCTCTCTCTCTCTCTTTTTTGGTAAGATTTATCTATTTATTTGAAAGGCAGAGTTACAGAAGCAGAGGCAGAGAGAGAGAGGCCTCCCATCTGCTAGTTAACTCCCTCAAATGGCTATAATGGCCAGAGCTGTGCTGATCTGAAGCCAGGAGCCAGGAGTTTCCTCCGGGTCAAGGCCCGAGGACCTGGGTCATCTTTCACTGCTTTCCCAGGCCATAGCAGAGAGCTGGATGGGAAGAGGAGCAGTGGGACACAGACCCTTCGGGCCACAGTGCTGGCCCCCATAGCTCCTCTGAGAGGAACTCCTGCTCCCAGGTTTGCCATCACTTCACTGGCCGTCCTCCAGCCTTCCAACAGGCATGCTTACTAGAGTAGAGAAAAGGAGAGGCAGAGAGAGAGAAAGAGAGAAAGGTCTTCCATCCGCTGGTTCACTCTCCAATTGGCCACAATGGCTGGAGCTGTGCTGATCCCAAGCCAGGAGCCAGGAGCTTCTTCCTGGTCCCCACACCAATGCAGGAGCCCAAGCACTTGAGCCATCTTCTACTGCTTTCCCAGGCCACGGCAGAGAGCTGGATCGGAAGTGGAGCAGCCAAGGACTCGAACTGGTGCCCACATGGGATGCTGGCACTGCAGGAGGCGGCGGCTTTACTCGCTATGCCACAGCACCGGCCCCTATTCCACTTCTGATCCTGCTCCCTGCTAATGTGCCTGGGAAAGCAGCAGAAGATGGTCCAAGTGCTGGAGCCCTTGCACCCATGTAGGAGATCTGGAAGAAGCTCTGGGCTCCTGGCTTCGGCTCTGGCCATTGCGGCCATTTGGAAAATGAACCAGCAGATGGAAGATCTCTCTCTGTGACTGCCTTTCAAATAAATTTTAAAAAATAATAAATCGGGGCCGGCGCTGTGGCACAGTGGGTTAAAGCCCTGGCCTGAAGTGCCGGCATCCCATATGGGTGCCGGTTCTGGTCCCAGCTGCTCCTCTTCTGGTCTAACTCTCTGCTATGGCCTGGGAAAGCAGTGGAAGATGGCCCAAGTCCTTGGGCCCTTGCACCTACGTGGGAGACCCGGAAGAAGCTCCTGGCTCCTGCCTTCGGATCGGTGTAGCTCTGGCCGTTGCGGCCAACTGGGGAGTGAACCATGGGATGGAAGACCTCTCTCTCTGTCTCTACCTCTCTCTGTAACTTTGCCTTTCAAATAAGTAAAATAAATCTTGAAAAAAAAAACAATAAATCTTTAAAAAACAGAAAATAGAGAAAGAAATACAACAAAGATTACTGGTGATTCTCTCTTGGTAATAGGACTATGAGTGATGTTTTACTCTGCTTCGTATGCTTATCTATACTTTCTAAAATGAACAAGATTTACTTGTACAATAAAATTTTTCAACAGCACACCTCTTTGATAACCTAAGACCCTCTAGCTTTGTATTCTTCACTCCCAACAGCTTTCAGAAACAGAACCAAAGAACCTAAGGTCTGGATCATCAGCCTCATGAGCACATGCCCCCCGCTGCATTCCCATCAGCCCTCATGGCGCACGAGGCGCTCTGCTCACAAGCAGCGTGTGTTCACTGGGCAGTGACTGAGCATGTAGACACATCAAAGCTCGCTCCTGGATCTCTCCTCATCTTGTCTGCAGTCTTCAAGGCAATAGTGAACTGTCATAGACAGACTAACACTATTACAACCAGCCTACCAGCAGTCCCCAGACTCAGGCTAAACTGGTCACCTCCCACCGTTCAACAATCTTTCCTTCACTTCTTAATGTCTCAGCAGATCTTCTACATTTGTTGTTCCACAGCCTTACTTCCCACAATGCCACCTACCTCTAACTCCCAAGTACTCACTCCTGGGCCCCTTTCCTAGCTGTGCTTCACTGTTGGGATTAAGTTTCCTCTGAAACCTCAAGGTAAGATTACAATGAGGTAAACGAGGGAAAACAAAAATGTACCATTTGATACCAACCACACTTTAACATCCTACTTTACGGAACAGCTGGTAAATGGATGACTAGAAGATATACAAACAGCTCTAAAGTCATCAGGGTCACTAGAAAAGCATGAATATTAAGATAGTTAAAAGGGGCCGGTGCTTTGGCATAGCGGGTAAAATGGCTATCTGCAGTGTTGGCATCCCATAAGGGCACGGGTTTGAATCTGTTGCTCCACCTTTTTTTTTTTTTTTTGACAGGCAGAGTGGACAGTGAGAGAGACAGAGAGAAAGGTCTTCCTTTGCCGTTGGCTCACCCTCCAATGGCCACCGCAGCCAGCGTGCTGCAGCCAGCGCACTGCGCTGATCCGATGGCAGGAGCCAGGTACTTATCCTGGTCTCCCATGGGGTGCAGGGCCCAAGCACTTGGGCCATCCTCCACTGCACTCCCTGGCCACAGCAGAGAGCTAGCCTGGAAGAGGGGCAACCGGGACTAGAACCTGGTGTGCCGGCGCCGCAAGGCGGAGGATTAGCCTAATGAGCCACAGCGCCAGCCAAGTTGCTCCACTTCTGATCCAGCTCTCTGCTGTGGCCTGGGAAAGCAGTAGAAGATGGCCCAAGTCCTTGGGCCCCTGCACCCATATGGGAGGCCGGGAAGAAGCATCTGGATCCTGCCTTTGGATCAGCTTAACTCCAGCTGTTGCAGGCATTTGGGAAGTAAACCAGCGAAATGGAAAACTCTCTCTCTTTGCCTCTCAAATAAAAAAATAAGTTAAAGCCAAAAGATTCCTTATTTAAAAAAAGATATTTAAAGATATATCTAATAAATAACGCTAGCCAGGGGACTGGAACATCAGCAACCCACGTGAGCACTGGTTAGAATCCTGGTTGTTCTACTTCTGACCTAGCTCCCTGCTAATGTGCCTGTGACAGTACTGCAACAAGTGGGAGGAGAGAACATTATAAATGAGGACAGAGCTGTAGGGAAGAAAGAAAAGAGCAAGAATCGGGCTGCCTGTCTCTCGTCCACTGTTTGGAGGGAAGAGCGAGCTGAGCCCCCACCACAGGCATTCCAGGCTGCTCCGCGCGAGTGTCCTCAGGCAGTAACAGAATTCCAAAGTCTCCGTATCTAACCTAAGTATCCTCCTGGAGCTTTAAATTCATTTTTCAAATTGTTGCCTATAATCTTCATTTGAACATCCCCTGTGTATTTCCAAACTAACATATGCAAAATTAAATTCATTATCCACCCAACAGACTGGCTCCTCCCTCTACTACTCTCTATCTTGAAATGGTATAAAAGTCCCAAATCTGGGACTAACCCTTGATCACCAAGTCTACTCGATGCTATCTTGTCTATGGCTTTAATGTCACCTACTGCCATCCTCGTAGTTCATGTCATCACAAGTTGTCCAGTTGGATTATGGAATGTCCACCTGACTGATTTCACCATCTCTATTCCTGCTACCCACCCGCCCCACATTGCAGCGGAGTGACCTTTCCAACTGCTACACCACATCCTGTTTAAAACCATTCAGGAACTTCTCACTGTCTAAATCCCAACATCGTGCACATGGCTTATCGGGTTCTTTCTGATCTGGCCCGGCACACCACTCCCCAGCATCACAGCTTGTCGAGTGCCTTGCCCTCACACACCTGTCACACTCCAAGTCCGCCTCTTTAGTTACGCACACTTGCTGTGTTCGCACCACCAAGCCTCTGTTGTGCTTTACTTGTCTGTCCCCATGGCCTGACCAGAAGCTCTGTGGGCACAGGGACTCCTGCAATGCCACTCATCTCAGCAGTTCTGCTTAGATTTTTCTACAAATGCATAAACTTTTCTTCATTCTAGGATGCACACTCCTCCCCCCCGCCAAAATCTGAACATTCCTCAATTAGGCACATTGCAATCAATGCCTCAATGGCACACAGAAGTTTGAGTTGCAGTGTACCTTACAGCTGATGGTGCCTCACCACTGACATCCTTCACCTGCCTGCCTCTGTATTAACCCCTGCCCCCGACAGTCTTCTGATCATAATTTAGCTTGTCATATAGTTTTTTCCTTAGGCAAAGAACATGTTGACCAAAGAGCACTACTCAAGTCTTTTCACTGTAAATTAATAAACTATCAATTTTATTTATATATTAATATGACTATTTAGCACCTACCAGTCCCTCTGACCCTGATCTCCTGAGTGCACTGACAAATCCTGGAATCGGGGAATCAGATACTAGAATGGTGACTTAAACCTTTTTTTGTTGGTCTTTTAAAATTTTATTTGAAAGACAGAAAGACACTGACAGAGATCGTCCATCACTGGTTCACTCCACAAATTTCTCCAG